AGGCCTGCAAGGCAACACATTCAGGCCTCCATGCAGACACCACAAAGCTCTACAAATGCTGACCCATGACTCTTGTGACTCTTCTCCTGTGCTTTTTCATGTTGCCCAATCTTTAAAAACAGTTGATTCATGCATTTTCAGTTTCAAACTAACCACTTCTCTTTCCCCCACTTTCTTTGTTTCCTTTTTGAAGACAGGATCTCTTTTTTGTGTTTGTGTCAGTGGTGGTGGGTTCTCTGTGTAGTCCGGACTCACAGTCTTGTCTGCACCCAGAGTGCTGGACGGGTATGTGCCAACAAGCCAGACTCTACCAGGTCTGTTTTGGTGAGCGTGTGCACTGAAGATCTAACAGTCCTGAGCATGGCAAACATGGTGCTGACAGGCTTTGTCCTTTACTCTTCTCTCAGCCTTGCTAAAAACATCTCAATACATCTCCAAAGCTAGTCCGCATGACTGCTGACTCACTCCTGAGACTAAACACCAAAGTCCAGCAATCAAAATTAATTACACACCCGAGCACAGACTCTGCCGCTTTCTCCATAAAATCTATTCCTGCAAAACACACCCGCTTGCTGCCTGCTGCCTGTCTGCCTTGGTCCAGCCCAGAGGCAGCCCCCTACCCCTCTTGCCCCTCTAGGGTAATAAACGTCTTCAGTGCTGAGAACTTGGTGTCTGGGTGTGCCCTGTACCCAACTCTGAGGGGCACCCACTCTTACATGGACTGTTTCCAGTATCCCCATTATTCTCAGGGTAGCCATGTGCCTCCTTGTACACATTCCTCATGCTTGGCTATTTCTGAATCAAACTGGGAGTTGATGTAAACATACTTCCGACTTACAAACGATTTTCCAAATAGTTTTCCCTGGTGGGTAGTTCTAACAGAGGAGGGATGTCCACTGAGTCCATACACTGTCTTCTTAGCCTTCATGGGGTGTCCAGTGCTGACCTTCAGGATGTTTTCTCCAGGGAGTGCTCAGTCTCCTTCCCAAGACCCTTGCCTTTCTCCATCCCTGTCTTCACAGATTCCCCGTTCAGCAGCTGCCCATGCCTGCCCAATTTGGAGCCCAGGGTCTCTTGTAGCTCCTGGAAAGCTCCATGGATCAATGACTGTGGCTCTTTCCTAGATCCAGTTCCCTCCAGAAGGTCAGGGAGTCCTATGATCCAGGAGACAGGAGGAACCTCCCCGCTGATCCTCTGTGGCTGTCTCCTTGAGCACTGTAGGAGTGGGCACAGATTGTGGGTGAGCAAAGAACAGGCGCTGGCAAGAGATACCCAAGGGTGAAGGAGAGGGGAGACTTGCAGCATGTGAAGTCTGCAAGACTTCATGGAGAGAGGTGCGTTTATGGGCTCAGGATAAGACAGCGGGGCTGGAGCTCAGGACTGGTAGCAGGCGGCCAGGAAGGTGAGGGGCGGGCAGTTGGCTTCTATCCTGGTTTCTGATCCTATAGTCCCAGAGGAAGGTGGCCAAAGGTAGGCAGGAGCGGGGGAGATAAGAGGGCCACTGAGAGCAGCCGGAACTTGGAGCTGAACCAAAGACCAAGCCCGGGTGTCACACGCTTCTGCCTTAGCGTCTGAGTCCTGGAAAACCCCGGGGCTTCTCTCTCTGCCAGCATCTTCCTGACTGCAGCACACCCTGCACCTCTGTTCTCTGTGCAGCTGCTGTGCAGAGCCTCCCTGTCCAGTCTGCCTCCACCACAACAGCTGGAGAGGAGCCCCCCTGCTCTCACCCAGCCCAGCCCAGCTGCATCTCCGTGGTTAGCCTCCCGCACACATCTGACTTCTCAGTAGTTCTCTCCTGGATGGCCTCAGGGTCTGTTCCTCAGAGCTACGCTTCCCGTTCCCCACACAATACACAGCTCTCTTAGTGCGGAGTGTGTCTGTGCTCATGGCTGGCACTACTGGTGCTTGGCATGCCTCCCCAGCAGCGGACCTGACGGCTCAACGTGTGCCCTAACAGAGAATGTCTTTTCCTCTGTGCCATCCTCATCCTGCAGTGGCTCGTCTGCCAGGTACAGCCCAGAGCAGTCTTGAGCACTGACCCATGGGAGGGAGGGAACCATTTTAGAATGTCCCTTCACTGGGGAATCTTGGTGCTGGACTTCAAGGTGTACAAACAAGAACAGTAGGGTGACTCAGGACCTCACCTTCCTTTCCCAGAACTGAGATCAGATGTTTTCTGCATTTCGCTTCCCACCATCCTGACAAGAGAAAGAAGAAATACCATAGGGGGAATTCCAGATGCTGGAGACTTCCCTGATGGGGTCAATGTACCAGGGGCACGGCAGGGATGGGCAGCCCCTGTGGAGGTCACGCTGAGATTAGGGGATATCCTCCAGAGGATGTTAGGTGATAGAGACAGGCTCTGAGGAGAGCGTGTGGCTTGGGTCTTCTGCCCTGTGGAGATCAGAGTCTTGGCAGGGGTGTCTGTGTCTGTGATTGGATTTCCTTCTGTCTTAGTTTTCCATCTTCAGTCGGGGGAAGGGCTGCTGTGGCCCCCTCCCCAACCTCTCAGCCTCCCCTGGATCAGGTGGGCACCCAGCAGGAGCCTGGCCTCAGGGCATCTGGCTAGGATAGTCAAAGGGATCTTGGGGGTCTCAAAGCACATGGGGACAAGAGGCAAGAGCCCAGGGATGTTGGCACCTCCCGTCTGTCAGTGACTGAAGTCAAGGGGCAAAACCAGCAGGTGACAGCCACTAGCGAATGCTTTGTAGGTGGGTAAGACCTGGATCCTGCCTCTGCTGTCGACTCGGGCAGAGCTTATCTGGCGATGGGCATGGGATGGCTGGGGTTGAATGAGTGGCTGGGCACCTGTAAATGGAGACTGCTCAGTCTTTTTCCTCTTTGATAACACCACAGTCACCCCTAGCTTTCATTCAAGAGGTGGTGAGGTAATCCTACACATGGTGGAGAGTTATAAGGCGGAGGAATGGATCTCACAGAAGTCCTTCTGTTTAGGCCAAGATACGTACATAGATAACATGACCTTTATGCTGGCATCTGGTGGAGGGGCCGAGCAACTGGGCATTCCCGCTTCAACTAGGTGTTCCACGGTATTAGTAGCTCCTGTCTCTTGCTGTGTTCCTGACATGATGATGATCTCTGATTGTGTATCTTCTGGGAATGGTGGCTTGGGAACTTAATGGTGGGGGATCTTTGAGGTGCTATATTGGGCTCAGTGATCTCATTAGAATCCTCTGGCCTCCCAGTCAGAAGACAGGGAGATATCCTAGCAGCCCAGAGCCTTCCATGTGTTCTGAGGCACCCGTGAGTTGTAGGTTCACGTGTGGGATGGGGTACAGGGGCTGCCCTTCCCTTCCTTAGAAACTCCTACAGTGCTATGTTGGGCTGCCAGAGCAAGAGATGGAGGATGAAGCACAATTAATAAAAACTCAGAGAGAGAAATTGGGGTTCAACCTGAAGATCTGACAGCAAAGCAGCCAGCCACTGGCTCTTATCCCAACCTCAGTCCAAAATGGCGATCCTGCCTCTAGAATCTCAGAATGAGACTGCTTGTTAAGAGTTGTTTCCTCCCATTTTTTTAGTTGTCTCTAGGGCTGGAATCAAAGGCATGAGCCACTGGGATTAAAAGCTTGCGCTGCCTGGTTTCGATGGCAACTAGTGTGGCTACTGGGATTAAAGGTGTGTGTTACCATTACCTGGTCTGTAAGGCTGACCAGTGGGGCTGTTTTACTCTCTGATCTTCAGACAGGCTTTATTTATTAAAATACAACTGAAATTCTACCACATGAAGAGGCTATCCTTCCACAGGGCCTCAGACTACAAGGTTGGAAAATGAGTGGTGAGAATCTCATGAAGGCACTCATAACCTGGCCCCTGTCTGGTCCCCCACTTCAGGGCCTCAGGAACTGGGAGTGCCAACTCCTTTACCCGTGGAGGTCAGCAAAAAGCCTCTGACCCCAGGCCGGGGAAGCTTCGGCTTGACAGGGCACCTCTGTTCATGCCCATATAGAAACAGTCCTCCTGCCCTAGCACCCAGCTTTTCCTCTCTGGGTCTCCAGTTGTGACCTGAGGACACTAGTGGTTGTAGCCAGTGTGACATTTACCAGTGGATAGCCTTGAAGGAGATATCTGAGCAATGCTGTCTGACCCCAGTGCCTGTAGTTTGTAGAGGCATGTCCCTGTCCCCGTGTCCTGCTTTTGCTTTCTGTGACTTGTCACTCTGAACTGTCTGCTACAGACAGAGAACACGAGGGGCTGTGTGGATGGAACAGTCTCTGTAACATACAGCAGACTCTTTGGTGTCCCTCTGGGGTGGGATTCTAGGGGACTGTGGGCTAGTGTCCCGGCTAGTTTTATGTCAACTTGACACAAGCTGGAGTCATCTGAAAGGGGGGACTCTCAACTGAGAACATACTTTCGTAAGATCTGACCAAAGAGCATTTTCTTCATTAATGATTGATGTGGAGGGCCCAGCCCATTGTGGGTGGTGCCATCCCTGGGCTAGTGGTCCTGGGTTCTCTGAAAAGATGGGCTGAGCTGGTAAGCAGCACCCCTCCATGGCCTCTGCATCAGCTCCAGCCTCCAGGGTCCTGCCCTGCTGAGTTCCTGTCTTGACTTCCTCCAGTGATGAACGATACTGTGGAAGCTCAAGCCAAATAAACCCTTTCCTTCCCAACGTGCTTTTGGTCACGGTGTTTCATCGCAGCAGCAGTGGTAATCCACAATGGACCCAGAAATTGCTGTGGGTGGGTCTGCCTCCCAGGAGATGGAGGGACCCATGGGAGAAGATGGGAAAATGTAGAGGCTCCTGGACCCCATTTGACAGTAAGAATGGCAAAGCAACTAACTCCTCGACTCTGAGCCAAACCACATCTCCACTGCAGTGCGGTGCTGGAGCAGCCCAGGGCAGCAGCTGTGCTCCTCAGCGTATGGAAGTTTCCATCTGGGTCTCCAAGGTGCTCATCACCCAGAACTCACACGGTTGAAAGCTGTCTCCTCCTCAGCAGGCCCAACCTTGGCAACGGGAAGCTTGTCCTCTTAGGCTGGCTCACAGTGTTTACTGAACAGGGTGTGTCCTAGGTGTGGGCAAGCCCAGGGCTGGGTGCCTGCCAAGCCTATGAGGACGGAACATTGATCTGTGGTTAATTAATGGACAGCAGAGAGGATAGAGCCAACAGTGCAGGTCGAAGGATCTTAAGGAACTCGGTTTCCTGCGTTCTGTTGGGGTTGCTCAGTCCTCTTTGGAGCCTAGGTCTATAGTTGGCCCCCACCTCCAGGCTTACTGAGGTCCATGCTCAGAGAAGGTGGATCTGGGCCCAGCACACTACTCTGTAGTGAGAAGCCCCACCCACAGTTGCAGAAGGACTGTTCTGCCTGGGGGTCGGCGATAAGATGTCCCACTTCACCCCTTCCAGGGATAAAGGTTGGCTCCTATTCTTAGGCCCCATGTGCTCAGAAGTGTGTAGGCTGAGGAACTGGGCCGTGGCAAGCGGCATTGGGGAAGAACCCTCACAAGGTGACTGAGAAGTGACTAGAAGCTTCTGGGGAAGGGTCCTGTGAGAGGGGTGTGCTGGGAGGTGGGTCAGCAAAGTTCCCAGCTGCTTGAGGCTGAGGTTCCTTTGTGTGTCAGAAAACTCAAAACCACAACCAAAGTATTTGAAGTGTCCTGGGGGGCAGACAAGCTTCCACAGGGTGTCCCTGCAGGTTGGGACTGTTTGTGGGGGGCTAGTGTTCTCGTACCGCTGTGGCTGAGGCTTCATCTGGTGTTTTGGGGCTGGCCCTTCTAGATCACCCTCCTCCTTACACTAGGTCCCTCCCCCAGGCTGACTGGGTTGACTGGGTTTCTCTTTCATTTTCCCTTCTTACTCTATGGGCTGAGGAAGGTCTCTTTGTGCAGCCCAGGCCCATGGGGCTCCGGGCCTTCAGGGTCTTGGTCAGGAGCATGGAACCTCTGCCAGGATGGGAGTCTTCACCCTGGAACCAGGCCCCCACAGCCAACACCTTCAGGCTGGTGAGTCCTTGAGCCTTTTTTGTCCCTAAGCTCTGTTCTTCCAAGCCCAGCTTCAGCCACAGCAAAGATCACCCCAGCCATTTCCTGTCCCCAGAGAGAACATCTAAGTTCTTTCCGGAACACAATCTCCCGGGGCTCTTTGTTACTGAATGTCCAGATCTCTGGAGGCGATTGAGGACAACCTCATGTTGGGAGCCTACAGGCAGGCTGGCCCCAGGGGGCTCCACTCACAGACACCTGCTGTGGCTCTCATTCAAGAGCAGGTGGTGGTGCCCTGGGCATGGTGGCACTTGGTAGGCCCTGCAGAAAGAGGTCAGCACTATGCAGCTCTGCCTCTGAGGACAAGCACCTTCCTACCGTGGAGGTAGACATCAGGCCAGGCCAGCAGGAGCCAGGATGTCTCTCCTGTTTGCTCAAGTAGGCGACTGACCACCAGTCAGACACAGCTGCTCTCCCCTGGATCCTGAGAACTGTCCCCACCCCCACCCTGCTGGGGGAGCGCGGGAGCCTTAGAGATGGAGGGAAGATTGTGCTCTCCAATGTTCATCCCCTGTCCCAGGGGCTGTATGTCTTCCTTTGGAACTTCCTGTCCTGTGTCGCTGCTGAGCCCTTATGCAAAGAGGAGGAGTATTCTGTGGGGGACCACTGCTGCCCCATGTGCATCCCAGGTAGGAGCAGCTCCAGGAGCAGAGCTGTGCCAGGGACTCCTGGACGGAGCCTATTGGCCTCTAGGTGCTCAGTTCAGTGGCGCAGTGGGTCCGGGCTGTACAGTGTTCAGTCCGGGGATATCCCCTGGTGGTCTGGATTCCTCAGTCTCTGGGACCTTTGTGGTGGCACCGTGTAGGGTGGGCCTGGGACATAGGGAAGGCCCAGCATAACGGGAGGCTGAGGGTGGAAATGGGCTGCGGTCAGAGGCAGTCCTGGGTGAATTAGGAGGCCCCCCATTGTGAACTTCTGAATTACCCATAGAGGATACACAGAAGGCAGATGGGCCAATGGGTCCTGTGGGGTCGTTGTTTTGGTCAACCCCCAGCACTGAGGAACTGTGGGTCTGTGGCTGCAGGTTACCATGTGAAGCATGCCTGCAGTAATTGGACAGGCATAGTGTGTGCCCCCTGTCCCCCACAGACATATACTGCCCATGCAAATGGCCTGAGTGAATGCCTGTCCTGCGGAATCTGTGATCCAGGTAGGAGCTCTGTGGAGGTGGGCTGTGCGGAAGGCACGCCCTGGTGCACGGGGACAGTTGGAGGATGGGTGCTCTCATCACCCTGTCTCTGACGGCAGACATGGGCCTAGTGACCTGGCGGGAGTGCTCCAGCCGGGAGGACACTGTGTGCCGCTGCATCCCAGGCTACTTCTGTGAGACCCAGGAGGGAGACCACTGCACCACGTGCTTGCCACTCACCAACTGCTCCCTGGGACAGAGGGTACTGGAGAGAGGTGAGCTGGCTGACTGTAGGTTCCTCCTCTGAGGCCGTTCTTGTCCCAGTTCCCCTGCTGCCTGGTGTCCAGAAACTGTCCAGCTCAGGGATTGCGGAAGCAGCTGAAACCTTGACCACCCCAGGCCACTCACCCCAGAGGAGTCCTGCTGGCAGGAGAGGCAGGAGAGCTATAGGCAGACAGGGGAAGGGAGGGTGAGAAGCAGAAGATGGGGAGGGTGAGAGAAGGGGCAGAGAGGGCAGGAGGCAGGGATGACAGGAGGCACACAGGGCAGGGACAGGCAGGAGAGGGCAGGGAATCTGGGAGATTCGGGGCAGGGAAAGGGCTTTCTGGTGAGAGTCAGGAAGAGGACAGAGGGCAGAGGAGGGAAGGGGACCTGGAACAGCACCAATGGCTCTCACTTCTGGTCTAACCTCAGCTATCCAGCCTCAACTCTGATGCCTAGCAGGGAGCCTGACTTGTAGGATAACCTAGGGCAACCTTGCTACTCACCAAATGTGAGTGTGAGGCCCGTCTTTGCTTTTCATCTGGAATCTGGCCAGGACACTCAAAGGACCCCTGGATTATTAAATCAGGTCCTTTCCTTGCCCAGGATGTCCTAGAATTACCCAACCCCTCTCACACATTCTCAGGGTGTTGTCTACCACCTCAGCGCTCAGAGAATTATGTGCTGGAAGCTTCTGGAGCAGACAGATCCAGGTCTCACCCCAGGGAAACCCAGCTTCCTGCCAACCTGAGCCCAGAGTTTTCTGCTTGTCTCTCTCTGACCCTCAGGTAATTACAGCCAGGACACTGTCTGTGCTGACTGCCCGACAGGGACCTTCTCACCTGGAGGGGCTCAGGAGGAATGTCTGCCCTGGACCAAGTAGGTGACCTGTACCTTTGGGTAGGAACTATTCTTTTCCCCGGGGAGAGGAGCACCCAAAGCCTGCAGAGCTGCACCCGTGATAGGCAGCAGTCAGAACAGCATGGAGGAGCCTGTGCTTTCAGCGACCATTGGGCCTTAGGCGGGAGGTCACAGGCTGTGGCCAGTTTCTACCATATGAATGTGGCACCCGGGAGTCATGGATATGGACATTATCATATTAGTTAGGGTTTCTATTGCTGTGAAGAGATACCATGAACCTGGCAACTCTTATAAATAAAGCGTTTAATTGGGGCTGACTTAGAGTTCAGAGGTTAGTGCATTATCATCATGACAGGCGGCAAGGCTTCATGCGTATGGTGCTGGAGAGGTAGCTGAGAGTCCTACATCTGGATCAGCAAGCAGAAGGAAGAAGAGGGTGACATTGGGCCCAGCTTGAGCATCTGGAAACCCAAAGTCGGCCCCCAGGGACACAGTTCCTCTAACAAAGCCACACCCACTCTAAGGAGGCCACACCTCCCAATAGTGTCACCATGAGTCTATGGGGGCCTTTTCATTCAAACCACCACAATAATGACCTCAGGTGAGGTCCCATCTCCGCCTAAGCCAGGACCTCTTTAAATGTGGGCCTCAGACCCTAAAGCTCACCTGAGAATGCAGGGTCTCTGAGGGTCTTCAGGTGTAGCTTCCCTAGGGAAGGGTCCAGTGGTCCCTCCTTCTGTCCTTGTCTCTCTTCACTGCTGTCAGTTCAGTTCCCAACTTTGCCCCATCAACCCCCTCACTCTCCTTCCCTCCTTCTCTTTCTCCCTCTCTCCCTCCCATTTTTCCTCCCTTCCTCCCTCCCTCCATTCCTTGCTTTTTGCTGTAGTACGAGTTCTAATTACTCTTAATAATAAAAATCCAGAGTCAGATTCTAGGGGCTGAAAACTGAAAGACCAGAGAAGCAGAGCAGTCCCCCCACCAGAGCTCCTACCTCAGACTGGAAAGAGCGTGAGCTCCTGTCTCCTCCCGCCTGCTGTTCCTCTCTTTGCCCAGTCCTGTCACTTCCTGTCTGTCTGTACAGACCTCCAGACCTCTGTGGCTAACTAGTGGCTGGCTCTGCCCTCTGATCTTCAGGCAAGCTTTATTTGTTAGGGTACAAACAAGGTGTCACCACACTTTGCTGCTTCCCCCCTTCTCCTTCCTTGGTCTTCCTTTTCCCTTATTTCTTTCTTTCTCTGTCTCCCCATAAGGGGCTTGATGACTGTGGCAGACCTGAGTCCTACCTCAGAGCTGTTGACCGCCCGAGTGGTTCTGAGCTTCATGGACCCTGCCTTAGCCCTGCCACACTAACAGCACCCAGTCTGCTGACCTGTTCCCCGGCCTAGGTCCCCACTGAGTCCCTTGGCTGCTCTCTCCTAGGTGCGATGCGTGGTATCTGAGAGAAGCAGAACATGGGACCAGCAGCACAGACGTCACCTGCTCCTTCTCCGGGCTGTTCTACTTTGCTATTTTTTGTCCCATATCTTTGGTCTTTATTTTGGTGGTTGTCACAATAGTTATCTACGTTAGAAGAAAGACATCACATACCCGTGAGCATCCTTTCAGGTCTTACAACCCCAGGAGGGATCCCAAGGGTCCCTCTTTGTGCAATGACTAGAGGTGGGCTCTCCTCAGAACCCAGCTGTCAGGTGACCTCTCTGGGGCCCTCCCCTCTTTCCCCTTCTCTCCCTCCCCCACCTTCTCCCTCCCTTCCTTTTCTCCTTCCTCTGTCTCAGCCATTCTGTGCTGAGCTGGGTACCAGAGACCTGCTTGCAGACCAACGCAGGCCTGGGAAGCTCATCATGGTTCAGGGAAGAAAGAAAAACCCACCAAGGGCCAAGCAGGCCACACTTTTGGCAGTGAGGAAGCATACTCCTGTGTGCTCACCTCTGGATGTTCCCAGTATAGGTGGCCTCTTCCTAATCTCTGAGGGGGTCAGACAGCCCATCTCCATCCCCTACTCATGGGAGTGAGGGAACCCCAACTCTGTCCAGTTGACTTTGGCCTCCAGGAAGGTGGGCCTCCTGTGGGTTGTGACACATGTCCACGCTCACTTCCTCTCTTCGAGAAGGTCAGACTATGGGGGTAGACCACACAGCTGGGAGCCCAGAATGTGGGTTCTGCATTGCTGTGTACCCATCTCCCCTGGCCAGTCTTGCTTCACCCTCTCGCATGACCTAATGTCTTTGTGTTACAGGACCGGCGGCCAGGGAACTGGAGCCCTTGCAGGTATCCTTGGTGGAAGTGTTTGGGTTGGGGGAGGAGGTCCCAACAGCGTGAAGGACCCAACTCCTTGGTCTATTCTGAGCTTTATCTGTCCTCCAGAACTATGCAGCCCCTGGCTTGGTGCCTGAGAGGCTGGACTTCACCCTGGGTTTCTCTGGCAGAGGCAGAAACAACACAACACTGTGAAACTTCCCGTCGCCGAGGTTGGGCCTGCTGAGGAGGAGACAGCTTTCAACCGTGTGAGTTCTGGGTGATGAGCACCTTGGAGACCCAGATGGAAACTTCCATACGCTGAGGAGCACGGCTGCTGCCCTGGGCTGCTCCAGCACTGCACTGCAGTGGAGATGTGGTTTGGCTTAGAGTCGAGGAGTTGCTTTGCCCTCCTGTTTTCTTACTGTCAAATGGGGTCCAGGAGCCTCTACATTTTCCCATCTTCTCCCATGGGTCCCTCCATCTAAACTCCTGGGAGGTGGTGACCCAAAACCTCCAGGATCAACGACAGCTACCACTGACCCTACTGCCCAGCTATTCCTGTCAGCTCACAGCATCCAGCCTAAACCCTAGGCTGCTGCCTGCCCTGAAGATGTTAGGCCTAGGCCTGAAGAGGTGAGCTCGTGAGCACGGCCTCCTGGGTCTGGGGAGCACTCCGTGAGACGCGAACCAGGAGATTCATTTATTTTGAGGATCTAGGGCTGCAATCCCAGACCTTGCCCATGCAAGGCTTTGCCACTGAGCTATATTCCCAGCTCTCTCTTCATTTTTATTTTGAGGCAGAATTATATGAAATTGTCTGGGATCACTTTGGACTCATTCTGTACCTCGGGCATGCCTCAAACTTGACCTCTCTACCTCAGCCTTTCAAGTAACTGCGATTACCTCTGTGGGCCTCCAGGCTGGGACAAGATTCTTTTCTGTTCTTTTCTTCTCTTTCTGGTGTGTGTGTGTGTGTGTGTGTGTGTGTGTGTGTGTGTGTGTGTGTGTATGCAGGCTAGAGGTCCTTTGTGTGATATTTCTTAGAAGCTAACTATCTTGAGTCAGCCTGGGGCTCACAACTCAGCTAGACTAGTCTAGTCTGCCCTGAACCCATCTCTGTCTCCTCAGTGCTGGGAGGAGAGGCACACAGCACTACACCAAACTTTTTACGTGGGTTCTGGGGATGAACTTGGGTTCACGAAGTCACGTCCTTACGCTTGTGGGGCAGTTTAGTGACTGAACCATTTCCTCGCCCTCAGAATGATTTTCTAAATTACATTTGTATATTCTCTTATTTTTCTACTTGTTATAAGAAATAAATATTTTTGTTACGTGCCCTGTCTCTCTGTAGACGTCTGTGTCTCCTCAAACATTTGTCCTGTGATTGCGACGGTGGCTACTCCAGGGTTCCTGTGTCAGGCGGCCCCTTGGTGAGGGGCATCCACGGGCATCCTTGGGTTTTTCATCCTGCTCGCTGGCATTCATTCCGTCGCTGCCTTGATTTCTGGCCCTGTACCAATAGGTGTCTATGAACGTCTCACATCAAGTCAAGCACTGTACTCTGGGCTCCCTTGTCTCCTTGCCCCGGTTCTGGCATCAGCTCTCCAAACGACTGTTTGTATCCACGAAAACAGTGTTGAGGCTGAGACTGTGGCCAAGTGCATTCTTTCTGAGGTGCACAGGGGTCAGCCGTGGTTGTCAGTTTGATTGAGTTCAGGGGTGCCTTTGAGGTTAGCAAGACACATTCGGAGTACACTTGTGGAGCATCTAGAGAGGGTTTGCTGAGGGGAGATTCTCATCCTGAGCACGGGTACCACCATCCGATGGGGTGTGTCCAGGCGGGAGGAAAGGGAGACAGAAACCCAAGAGCACAGCCTCCCTCTCCCCCCGACCCGCTCCCTGGGCGCTGTGGAGTGAGCAGTTCTGCTCTGCCATACACATCTGTTATGGATACTGCCAAACCACAGAAGTAATGGAGCCGGTGATCATGGACACCGCCAAAACGGTGAGCTGAAACACATCCTTCCTCCTGGAAGTAGTTCCCTCAGGGATTTGCCACGGTGATGGAGAGTCTCACCGACGCTCCATGTCCCAGTTCTGTGTATTTGTCTTTTCATCTATGTTCTAGTTCCTGTTCTGTTGTTGTGAAGACACACTGTGAAAAGGCAGCTCATAAAAGGAAGCGTTTAATTGAGGGCCTGCTCCCAGGTTCAAAGGGTTAGCATTATCATCATGGTAGGAAGCAGACAGGCTTCCTCATCCACAGGCAGGAGAGAGATACACCTCTGTATCTATCACCCATCTATCTCCTCTCTTTATCACCTGCCTTTTCTTATCTTTCCTGTATCTTTCTTCTTTATCTCATATAATCTGGCTGTTAACATACTCTCTAGGTAACTAGTAGAATGTGTGTGTTGTTGCTTGTAGTTCAGGGAGTTGAGTTAGGAGGAAGAGATGGGCAGGTTGTATAAGTACCTGTCATTTGCTGATACAGGTGGACTGCAATCAGACTGTAGAATGAGCCCGCAATAATGTCTCACAAAGAGGACATAGGAACAGGAACCTGGTGATCATGAGGAGAGCCTCCAGTAACACAGTGGCTCTGTTCACCAAAGGCTCATGCCAACTTTAAGTGTGTGCATGGCTGTAGTTTGGCCCTATGCAGTCTTTCTGAGTCTTCATTCCACGGTAGCCACTGACCTGCCTGGTCTGTGTTCAACAGATGGTCTCCCAGCAAAGTAAAGGAGACAGAATCGTCGGAGTGCAGCGTGGAGTCTTTTGTAAAGACTGCTATCAGCACCCGGATGTGCTTGATGCCCCTAGTGTAAGCTTGAAATGAACCAGGGAGACCAGGCTTGCGTGAGGTCACTTTTCTCCTGACCATTTTCTAAACTCTGAATTCTGATCTAAGTTACAGGGATCAGCGTTCTGCCGCTCAGGCCCATAATTCTGTCTGTTTAGGTCCCCAGCAGAGTGCCCGTTGTATTGTTCTAGATCTGTTAACCTCTGGCTTTGCTCTGACTGCATCTACGGCCTGGTCTGTGAACACAGGGCCCAGGCTGCCCTAGAACAGCACCTATGGACTCTGGATGAGCAGAAGAGACATTGGAATCACTAGGAGGTGGGGGAATGGTTGTGAAGCAAGGTCGGGGCACAGTGGGGCCTGAGCACTGTTCTATCTGCTGTTGTCAGGATGGATGAACAGAGACACGAGCAGGGCGCTGAGACCACTGCCCTCTTCTGCTCTTGCAGGGCCCTCTTCTCTGCGCTCTGCCCTCCTACAGAAGGACAGGGCATGCGTGATCAACCAAGCAGAGGCAGAGTTCATACCAACTCAAATAAATGGAGGCCTGGGAAGCTGTGTGGCACCGTGTTCTTCGTGTCCCTTGAGCTGGCTGTCTGAGGCTGTGGAGAGTTCTGGAGATGCCCAGTCTGGATCCAATTGGAGCTAGGGGGTCCCCAGAACCAGTGTCTCCAAGCCACATTTACTCCTGTTCCATGAGAGGCGCAGTAGGACCCCAAAGGCTCTCTTGGTCTCTGTATCCAGATGTCCACACAAGATGCCTGCTCCAAACGTGGTTTTCTTTTGATGGTTTAGCATCCGGAGGATCACTTCTCCTTACGAGAAGTGCCAACTCCTGAATCCAGGAGACAGTGACTGGGGAGTTTGCAATTTCTGCTCAGACTGACTAAGCTGAAGCCCACCTGTGTGAGTCAATACCTGATAAGAAACAACCGAAGGGGCAAGGGTTTATTTTGGCTCCTAGATTGAGAGCCTCATCCGTTATGGAAGGCAGCAGCATGAGGTGTCTGGTCACACCGGAGTGGTGGATGCTGACACCCAGTTTGCCTTCTCTTTATTGAAGACCCTTGCTGGTGGAATGGTGCCCCCTCACCCCTGCTAAGGGGGTAACCAACCCTAGGGGCTGGTTTCCCACCTCAATCAACCCAGTCTAGGAACTCCTTCGAAAGATGCCTAGAGGTCTGTTTCCATGGTGATTCTAAATGATGATAATCACCATTAGCCATTACACTGCTGGATTTAGAGTCACAGCCTGTGCCCCAACAAGACAGATTTGGACTCCTGTCCTTGAGAAGACACTTTAAAAAGCTAAATTCATAATGAGAAGCAGAGAAGGCCCTACCAGCTTCCATCATGGTGGTGTCTGCACTGTGAGACAGGGCACAGGACGGGGCTGTGCTGTCTCTTCAGGTGCCTGGAGGACAGGGCAACCTTAGATCACAGTGTTGGGCTGTCAGCCCAGCTTCTCTTCTCCATGCATTGTGTGACTTTTGCCCAGGAGACAAAGTGAGCAAGTGTGCCCAGATAGGACACTGAAGACCTTAGCCCTGCAGGTCCCGCCCCTGTTGTGTGGCCTCACATTAGCTGCCCTTGAACAGTTCCAGGAGGGAGGTGTGGTCCACAGAGGCTGGCTGGGCTGGGGGAAGGGAAGGCACCGAGTGCCTGCAGGGCAGGGCGGCGCAGAGGCTGGTGGGAAGGAAAGTGACAAGGTCCAGCTGAGGCCTGGGAAGTGATCAGGGCAGGAATCACCAGAGTGGATGGAGTCTGCAGAGGGATTCAGTGACGTCCATCTTGCTGCTCCTGACCTAAGGTGGAGTCAAGGCAGAGGCCAGGGCAGTCCTGCTAGGCCACAGTCTCACCCACCCAGACCCCTTGTTGCATCTCCTGTAAAGTGGTCAGGCAAATTGGAAATCTCTTTCCAGAAGTTTCGCTTCTGTCTGGCCCAAGCTTTAGGCTTTCTTTTCTTATAGAATGAGTTCTGAGCCATTCCAGTCCCCTGGGATCCTTGCTTCAACAGTCTGAGAGTCAACGTGAAGAACAAAATGAGTCCTTAGAATAGCTTCCCCTCTGCTAGATTAGTTACAGCCACATCACCCTTCGCCTCCCCTAGGAGACACTTCTACCCCAGGCCACTAATCCCCAGAGCCCAAGAACTAAGACTGGCCCTACAGCCAACCAAGCCTAGGCCTCCTGAGTGACATTGTCTGACCTTTCCACATGAAGGCTCTCACCTGTTGGTACCTTGCTTCTTCTGCTTGCTGATCAGCCCTGGGGCTTCCCCAGGTGGCCCTGTGTGGCATGGGGGAGAGGCTGTAACAAGCCTGCTTCTCAGTGGTGGTTTCCCCAATCTGCAATCTGACCAGCCTGCATTAGTGCAATCCCTGCACTGAGACAGGGCACAGGATGAGGCTGTGCCATCTCTTCGGGATGGCTGGCGGACAGGGCAACCTCAGCTCCCAGTGCTGGGGTGTCAGCCCAGCTTCTCTTGTCCATGTATCGTGTGACTTTTGCCCAAGAGATGTGAACAAGTGTCCAGTTATCCCAGATCAGAACTCAAGACAGATGAAAAAAATATACTACCCAGGTCTAGCTTAGAGAGCCTGTGCATTGCTGCTGCTGTTGTTGTTACTTACAGAGTACGGACACTCACAGTCAGCTGCATCAGTGAGACGTCTACCCCCACAGGAGAGACGGCTCAGGACCGCCACAGCTGGGCATCATCAGGACTGGCTTTGTCACAGAGTTTGATCCTCTCCCATGGAAACTTCTGGGAGCTTGAGAAGTTCAAAGGGCTGCAAGCTGGGCAGGCACAGTCAGGGGCCTTCTGCCAAGGGGATGTCTGAAAGGATAGAAGAAGCAGCTGAGAAGGGAGAGAGGCAAGGGTCTTCACCCTGGGAAGTGGGGGCAGAGTGCCCCTGGAGGGAGACCTGCCTGGGCAGATGCAAAAGTTGTGATATCCCTGTGCTCGGCCCCACCTAGTCAAACCCGACCTCATCTCTACCGCACAAACAGCCTTATCAGCAGGGAGCGGCTGCAGGTGTTCAGTGCCTTATTCTGCTAGGGATGCCAAAACCCTGGTCTCTGTGGTGCCTCCATCACATTTCCTGAACGAGGGTCACGGCCGGGGCCTTCTAGGTGGGTCTGGCTCTCCTGAACCCCTTTCCTTTGGGGCGAGGACAGTGCAGAAGGGCCTGGCGTAGCTCTAGAGAGCTGGGCATAGGCCTTTACCCCACGAGCTGAGAAGCCAGGCACTGCTATGGGACCTAGAAGTCTGAGGTGGTGGTTGGGAGACATGGGGACGGAGAGAGGCCTGCAGCCTGCCACCTGGACTCCAGGACTGAGCATTACTACCTCGTAACTGTGTGAGTCCTTGGTTCCGAGTTTCAGTAGAAAGTTTCTTAAGTGTGGAAGTTGTCAGAATCAAAACAGAGGCACCAGTGTCAAGTAGGAGATCAAGAAGGAGAGCGTCTCCCCTCTCAGCATTAGCCCAGAGCGGCCACCACAAACTCTTGGCCAGTACAGCAGCCTTGTATGGAAAGCGCTTCTGTGGGAAGTCCACCAGCCCCTGTCTGTTCTGCCTTGGGCTGACATCATTCTCGTCTGTCATCCTCCATGGCATGGGGCAGGCGGCAACCTTGCCCACTAGCCTTAGCCTTCTTCAAGTTGGATACTTTTACTGTTGTATGTATATGCTCCCTTGGAATGTTTGGTCATTCCTGAATCCTTTGGAGAACTGCTCTGCTCGTCTTCAGGTTAACAAGATTTGGGGGTGCAGAGAAGAGACACAGAAGAGACGACAGTAGGAGGGGACCTTGGACATAAAACCATGCAAATGTTAGGGAGTCACTGTGCAACCTTTCTTGCTCCTTGGCAGGACATGGTCTTTGGAACCACCTGCTTTACATGTAAGAATACTTGCCTACATGTATATCTGTGTATCACGTATGAGCCTGGTAGCTTTGGAGGTTGGAAGAGGGAGTTGGACCCCCTAGACTGGAGCATGAGAGGACTGTGAGCTACCACATGGATTCTGAGAGCAGCCAGGACTCTTGGCCACTAAGCCATCTCTTTAGCTCTATTTTTTTTAAAGACAACTTTTGGTTTACAGGAAAGTGATCCAGAAGGTCCAGTGTTAGACAGCTTTGTGAGACTGGGAAAATAGCTGAGAAAAACTCAGCAGAGAGAAGATTTACTTTTTTACTTTTTTGTTTTATAGTTTCAGAACCTGGTTAGGGAGCTGAGAAACAGAAAACTTCCCACTTCATGGCCATAACGAAAGAGGGAGGAGGAACTGGAGACAAGCTATATTTGTGTGTGTGGTCTCTGGAATTCTATTTTCCTTTTTCCCAGCATAATATTTTTATTAATTATCTGAGAATTTCATACAATGCACCCTGATCACACTTACTCCCCATTCCTCTCAGGTCCACCCTTTCACCCAGCCCCTCCACCAAAAAAAAAAAAAAAAAAAAAGAAATGAAAAGAAAAAAAATAAAATAATAAAAAACAAGTCCAGTTTGTGTAGCCCACATACTACTCACTGGAGCATGGTCGAACTCCTAGTGCCAGCCCCTAAAGGAAAACTGAGTCCTTCCCCAGCTCGCCCCTCCCTGTCAGAGGCCATCAGCTGTGAAGAGCTACACTTCAGCATCTTTATCAAGGATTTTAGAGCTCTCTTCAGTAGCTTCATATCCGAACTGTATCTTTTTGGAGGTCGGGCAGAGGTTGTCATACAGCCTTCACTGCCTTTTTTGCTCAGTCATGAGTCTGTAGTCATCAATACCATTGCAAAAGGAGCTCCCTTGCCCATAGCAGCCGGCAGCAGCATGGATCCCAGACATCAGCAAGGCTCCTGGGGGCAGCATGGATCGTGGAAGTCTTTTGAGAAGACTTAACCTAGGAAATGGACCATTCTTCATCTTGGACATATTCTTGTTGCTTACAGTCGGGGTGATCATGTGACTGTGTCCAGGAACAGGACCTGTGTGAGTTCCAGGCTGCTATATATCACCTTGTCCTAGGCACCTGCTGTTCTGCCTGTAACCTGGGCACAACCACAGCCAACACTTTAGGCTGGTAATTTCTTGAGCCTTTTCCTGTCCCTAAGCTCTGTCCTCCCAAGCCCAGCTTCAGCCACAGCACAGATCACCCCAGCCATTTCCTGTCCCCAGAGAGGACATCTAAGTTCTCTCCAGAACACAAGCTCCCGGGGCTCTTTGTTACTGGATGTCCAGATCTCTGGAGGCGATTGAGGACAACCTCATGTTGGGAGCCTACAGGCAGGCTGGCCCCAGGGGGCTCCACTCACAGACACCTGCTGTGGCTCTCATTCAAGAGCAGGTGGTGGTGCCCTGGGCATGGTGGCACTTGGTAGGCCCTGCAGAAAGAGGTCAGCACTATGCAGCTCTGCCTCTGAGGACAAGCACCTTCCTACCGTGGAGGTAGACATCAGGCCAGGCCAGCAGGAGCCAGGATGTCTCTCCTGTTTGCTCAAGTAGGCGACTGACCACCAGTTAGACACAGCTGCTCTCCCCTGGATCCTGAGAACTGTCCCCACCCCCACCCTGCTGGGGGAGCGCGGGAGCCTTAGAGATGGAGGGAAGATTGTGCTCTCCAATGTTCATCCCCTGTCCCAGGGGCTGTGTGTCTTTCTTTGGAACTTCCTGTCCTGTGTCGCTGCTGAGCCCTTATGCAAAGAGGAGGAGTATTCTGTGGGGGACCAGTGCTGCCCCATGTGCAACCCAGGTAGGAGCAGCTCCAGGAGCAGAGCTGTGCCAGGGACTCCTGGACGGAGCCTATTGGCCTCTAGGTGCTCAGTTCAGTGGCGCAGTGGGTCCGGGCTGTACAGTGTTCAGTCCGGGAATATCCCCTGGTGGTCTGGATTCCTCAGCCTCTGGGACCTTTGTGGTAGAACTGTGTAGGGTGGGCCTGGGACATAGGGAAGGCCCTGAGAGGTGTGAACCAGGGAGTTGGCCAGTGCTTCTGTTTTCATCACAGATCCACAGTATCAAGACACTATCCTGGGTGCCCCGTGCCTGTATGATTGGCATCACCCTTGTGAGGAGACCCTGTGTATGCGGGGGCCTGTGTGCACCCCCACAAAGATCCTGCGCTTACACATAGTATATGCGGGGAGTTGGCCTCACCCCTACAGAGGATGGCCCTGTGTCTCTCGTGCCTGTTAGTGTACACTGGAGATTGCCTCACCCTTAAAGGTGAACCTCTATGCCCACACACAGTGCCTGCATGGGGCCAGCCTCACTCCTACAGTAACCCTGGATCTATCCACACGGTTTCCATGATGAGTTGCCTCAGGCCTAGAGAGAGGTAGAAGACTGCTCTTTCCTGTCGATGAGATTCCCAGGTCTGAGATTTTAAGAGCCACCATGCCACTCCGTGGAATGGCAGAGCCTACCGACTCCACACTTCCAGGGCAGCGAGAACATAGTTGCAGAACTCCTGCTTCCTGGAGTAGGAAAAAACAGACACAAGGAGGATCCAAACTGGGTTAAAACCCAGGCCTTGGGCCTCCAACCATACTGTGTAAACCAATCAATCCTTGATGCAGGCCAGAGCTCAGAACAGTTGTGCAATGCCTGGCTCCCCCTGCAGGACGAAGTTGGTATCACACGTGAGGAGCCTTGAATAGAGGATCAGGTGGTGGGAGGCCTTGGTGCATGGTGCACGGGGCCAGTTGGAGGATGGGTGCTCTCATTGCCCTGTCTCTGACGGCAGACATGGGCCTAGTGACCTGGCGGGAGTGCTCCAGCCGGGAGGACACTGTGTGCCGCTGCATCCCAGGCTTCTTCTGTGAGACCCAGGAGGGAGACCACTGCACCACGCGCTTGCCACTCACCAACTGCTCCCTGGGACAGAGGGTACTGGAGAGAGGTGAGCTGGCTGACTGTGGGTCCCTCCTCTGAGGCCGTTCTTGTCCCAGTTCCCCTGCTGCCTGGTGTCCAGAAACTGTCCAGCTCAGGGATTGCGGAAGCAGCTGAAACCTTGACCACCCCAGGCCACTCACCCCAGAGGAGTCCTTCTGGCAGGAGAGGCAGGAGAGCTATAGGCAGACAGGGGAAGGGAGGGTGAGAAGCAGAAGATGGGGATGGTGAGAGAAGAGGCAGAGAGGGCAGGAGGCAGGGAGGACAGGAGACACACAGGGCAGGGACAGGCAGGAGAGGGCAGGGAATCTGGGAGATTCAGGGCAGGGAAAAGGCTTTCTCATGAGAGTCAGGAAGAGGACAGAGGGCAGAGGAGGGAAGGGGACCTGGAACAGCACCAATGGCTCTCACTTCTGGTCTAACCTCAGCTATCCAGCCTCAACTCTGATGCCTAGCAGGGCGCCTGACTTGTAGGGTAACCTAAGGCAACCTTGCTACTCACCAGATGTGAGTGTGAGGCCAGTCACGAATTGTGTAAATCACTTGATCTTCTGTAACCCAGGACCAGTGAGAGAGAAAGTAGGTGGGGTTGAAGAGATGCTATGTAGCTACCGAAGGAGAAAGATGCCAGAACTTAACGGGTAAGCCACAGCCTAGCGGCAAATCATAGATTAACAGAAATGGGTTAATTTAAAATGAAGAGCTAGCTAGGAATGCATCTGAGCCATTGGCCAAACAGTGTTGTAATTAATATAGTTCTGTGTGATTCTTCAGGTCTGGGAGGCTAGGAAACGAAAGCTCAGTCTCCGTAGCAAATGCCCATTCTGCAGTCCTTGGTCTCTCTCCCTCTGTTGTCACTCTGAGAGGATCCAACGGGTTGGGCCATAGACACTGTTCCTATGTTGGTTTGGGAGAGCACCTAGTAACGGACCTCAGATGAATGAAATAAACTTCTGAATAAGCAGGGAATGGAGGCCCCAGTGCCCAGGCACAGAGGTCTGAGCACTACTTGAACGCTGACAGAGGGGCAGATCGAAGACTTCGGAACAAGTTTGGGCAGGGCCTGGACATCACCATTTTCTTTCCCGCTGTCTCTGAGCGCTTCCTACCCTCTTCCCAGTAGCTCACTCCACTGGGCAGAGGCTGAGTTCAGGTATGTTTGTGTGAAGCCCCATGCTTTATTGCTCTTTGGCCTGCCTCCCCAAGACTCTGGTGGGCTCTGGGGGCACACAACATGGAGCCATACTGGTGTTTCCCAGGGATGTCCAGCATAGTTTTCCCAAGCCACACTCACCTTGACTGTCAGCAAAGTGCACTGGGATCCCGTGGTCTCTTCTGGTTTTGTGGTCAGTCACCCACAAGAGAGTGCCAGTACCAAGCATGTGTGTTTATTCTGATGATCTGATGGTTTTATACCTGGAACCTCACTCACCTAGGAGACTACACTTCTAGGGAGAGTAGTAAATCCTAGACACACAAGCTGTGGGACAATAAGCACTGATTGGCCAGTAGCCAGGCAGGAAGTATAGGTGGGACAACCAGATAGGAAGTAGAGGCAGGGCAATGAAAATTCTGGGAAGAGAAAAGTACAGTCTGTAGTTGTGACCCAGACTCAGAGGGAGCAAGATGTGACTGCCTTGCTGAATAAGGTACCGAGCCATGTTCCTAATACGGACAAGAATTAAGGGCTGATATAAGTTAAAATAATTAGTTAATAAGAAGCCTGAGCTACTGGGCCAATCAGTTTATCATTAATGTAGGTCTCTCTGTGATTTCTTTGGGACTTAACACAGGAACTGAGCAGAACAGAAGCCTCAGTCAACACACACACCAGCAGCCAGAGTGTGCAATTTGTATGTAGACCAACCAACCCAGGCCTTTTCTTCAGCTTGTGACCCCAGGGTCCATGCCAGTCAGCCAGGATTGGTCTCTGTACCACAGCGTCTGGGCAGCCATCTGTAATCTATACCAGACCAGCCAAGCCTAGGCGTACTCACTGGCTTTGCCTGGCCTTTCCCAGGAAAACCATATGAAGGTTCTCACCCGTGGGTAGTATGGTGGTTTGAAAGAAAATGGCAGAAAGAATCCACATTCTTCACCAAAACGACACAAGAACAGCACTATGCCACATACTAAAATTCTTATCCTTTGAAACCTCTTGAGCCAGACCCACAGCTCCAATCGCCCTCAGTACGACTGTCTTCCACGCCCCTATTAGCATGACCCACTAGGTTGCACTAAGTATTCCACTGCTTTTCTGACCCAAAGCCCACATTCCTCAAACAAAAGCAGAGACAGACCTATCACAGCAATACCCTAGTCCTTGGTACCAGCTTCTGTCTTAAGGTTTCTGTTCTGTGAGGAGACACCATGACTGTGATTGTTAAAGCTCTGAAGAGAAAGGTGTCCTGGCTGTCAGAGGTCAGGCTGTACCCATAGCCCTGAAGGGAAAGCTATCTTGGCACCCCTGTGTGGCTTTCATAGTAAAAGCTAAAAAAGCAGGGAGCTGGGTAGTGACACCCAGTGGAAGGGGAGAGACAGTGGTTAGAGCAGCAGAGGGGAAGTAGCGGGAATGTATGCGTCTTAGGAAGCAGAATTGCACACGTGGTGGGGTCCTGAAGGGCATCTCAGGGAGTATGCCCACATGAAGGACAGCCCAAAGGCTGTAGAAGATTCTTTCTTAAAAGGTCAGAGATAAGAGGCTTCATTCCCCTGAGGCTAAGGAGAGAGAGTGGATATTGAGCCTGGGTAATATTTTTAGTGGGGTTTGATTGTAACCCTACCCCGATAAGAGGGGAACAAGAAGATGTGGGTCTCTAAAACTCTGTCAGAACTAAATACACGGCCCCAGCATCTAGAAGGAGAGACAGATCACCCTGACACTGTGATGTCTACCCGAGGCTTCCAGTGAGAGATGGGCAGTGGTCAGGCCAAGGGAGCCTGGAATCACTCAGTTGTCCATGGCCAGACCTAGGTCAGCCATCGGGGCTTGAGGTCTCCACACCATGAGGGACATGGGGGCAGTCAACACCCGGACACCCTTCTTGATGGCACTTTGGGCATGGTCTGGGTGGTTTATAAGAAATCAGACAGACCTGGGTGCAGTAACCCTCATGACTGCATTTGAAACAGGGACCCAAGAGGTTCTCAGGCTTTGGGAGGCCAGGAAGCCAGGGAAGTTGCTATGGCCAGTTGAAAGGCCTTCACCATCATCAGACAATTTTGTTTTCGGGCTTTTTCACGTGTCCCAGGGTATACCTTCAAGTCACTGTTAAGACTATGGAGTCAGGAGTCCTTTCTCTAGACGTTTAAGTTTGGCTCTAATACCAGGGAGAATGCGGGAAGTGGTAGGTCATTGGAGTGCTTTCACGCTGGGGGTCTCACGATCCAGATTGGTATATTGTAAACTGAGATGCGTTATCATGTTTGTCCTGGATGATCTCTTGGATTTTTTTCATAATTTACCTTTTTAAGGGTGGTTATTCAGGAGACCAGTTGCAAATGGATCTCTCTAGCAAGGATGCTCCCTGGGGCATAGTAATTTCATTCAAGGTCCTGGTCAGGGATTGCTTCAGCTCTGACTGGGTGGGCAATTGTCGCTGAAAAGTGAAAAGAGAAACCAGAGAGGCTGGAGAGGAAGAGAAGGGACTGTGGGTTGAAGTTTTAGCGTGAAAATCGTGGAAGAATCATCTGATTTGGGCCTCACAGCCGGGAGGAGTTGTTTTTCCTTAGATGGCTTATGTCATGTGATCACTTTCATCAAGATGGGAGTGAGGTCACATGGCAAGATTGAAAACATCAGACAACACCTTAGCAGAAGTGTCAGAGTTAAACCAAAACCACAAGGGTTTGAGATGAGTAGCAATGCTCCCCTTTGAGAATAGTCAGTCCCTTTATTTTGTTTTGCTCTTTTCTTTGTCATACAGCAGGTGGCTTGCCTGATATGGGACAGAAATTTTGGAAGAAACCTTTAAACAAGCATGCTTGGGTCTAGAGGAGGAGGAGCCCTACCCTAACTCTAGAGTCAGATTTTAGTTCAAGTGGGACAGAAAAAAAAAAAAGACAAAACAAAACGCCACCAACGACAACAAAAAACCAAACAGTATAATGACATTCATACTCCTGAACGTCTGTAAAGCTGAGTTTAGTAAGCTGAGAACAGAGACGGTTCATAGATAGGAGACTTTTGAGTCTTGACTATAGACAGTGGATGCTGCAGGAGGGAGTTGAGAGAAACACCAGCCAGTGAGGAGTGTGTGCAGGGTGTGTGCATGGCATGCGCATGTTGCAACTGGCCTGCTACTTTGCTTTCTGCCGCCCCTGCTAGGTCAGACTCCTAGCTCCCACTTTGTAACAAACTTATAGATCCAACTATTTGTAACTTAAAAGGCAAAACCAAACTGGGCTTGGAGCTGAGAAATAGGGAGTGTGGAATCTTTTTCCATTTCCCCAATCAAACACTATTTGTAAAGGTCCAGATAATGTTAGCATCTAAGGTGTCGTTGGTTGACCCTTTGTATTCATTATCTAAGGAGTTCAATACCAAGTTTGATTGCAAAAGTGAATAAATTTAAGGCCCTTCAGGTCGGGTGTCAGGTGGAGAGGCTGGGGTTTTCTAAGAGTCATCTCAAGGGGGAATGAGAGGGTATGGGAGACACAACACCTTGGATGAGGGAAAAGAAAAAAATGTCACTGCATCCTGTAGTCGTGGGCATTCCCAGGACTCAGGGAGGACCAAAGGAGGACCAAACCATTCAGTGGGTCATCATCACACTCAACTGTGGTCAGGGCTTAGCCTGGCTAAGCCAGAGGAGAGACTCGGGGCCTGGAACCAGGGCTTTAGCAGAGGTGAGAAGGGGAGAACGAAAACCAAACTCTAGGAGGAGGAGGGTCTCATCCACAGGAAAGGGTCAGGGAACAGGGTCACAAAAGTCATGAGGGCCTAGAGGAGCTGTGGGATTACCAGAAGCTCCAAGGGGAAGGTGGGAGAAGAGGGCAGGAAGGGGCACAATAGCCCAGTTTGGTCTAAGGAAACTGCAGGATTGCAGCTCCAAGGGTGGGGGGTGACGTCAGGTGAAGAGGGCCAGGTTTCGCCTTTAAGACCTTGGCTGAGGATATCTCTGACTCCTTGAGGGGTGACGGACACTCAGCGGTGACTTCCTCAGACTCAGGGAAATGCTTACACTGACCAAAGGGAAACTTACCTAATTACTGCTGGTGGACGGGGTGGTGAGTGTTTGGTGACCCAGAAGAGATGAGTCTGTTGCAGGTGTAATGGGGAGGAGGGATAGGGTCCCAGTGCAGCTCAGATTGCGAGGGGAAATCCAGGCTCTCGGAGAGCCTGTCTGAGTCTCTGTACCAAATGTAAGTGTTACAGCTCAGACAGAAAGGTATCCTGGCAGCTGGGAGTCAAGGAATACCCCAACGTCACACCACACAGCAAACCTCGCACAAGAGGTTTAGTGGGAGGGAAAACACGAGGAGGGTGGCTCAGGAGAGAAACAGCAGCAAACCGAACAGGATACAGGGCTTAGCTAGAATCTCTTGAGAAGTGGTTGGAACTTTCCAGGGTGGAGATTGGTGGAATTTCACATCCAGAGATTGGGCTTTTTGCTCTGTCGGGTGAGGGCAGGGTCCAGCAGTTAGGACAGTCAGAGTGTTCTGTGGGTGGAACCTGGCAGTTAGAGGGCCTTGAGGGAGAGGCCTGGTCACTGATGTGGCTTGAGGGGCTGACGGTGACCACAACGACTCTTATGAAGGAAAACATTGAACTGGGTCTAGCTTACAGTTTCAGAGGTTTAGTTCACTAGCATCATGGCGAGAAGCATGCAGGTAGACATGCTGAAGAAGGAGCTGAGAGTTCTGCATCTTCATCTGCAGGCAGCAGGAAGTGAATTGTTCCACAGTGGGCATAGCTTGAGCATATATGAGACCTCAAAGCCTCCACAGGGACACGCTTCCTCCAACAAGGCCACACCTACTCCAACAAGGCCGCATCTAATTCCTAATAGTGTCACTCCTTATGAGCCTATGGGGGCCATTTTCTTTAAAATCACTCATGGGTAAAAGCCTTCTGTGGTGGTATGAATAGGTTTGGCCCCAATACACTGGTGTGTTTGAATGCTTGGTCATTAGGAAGTAGATATGGCCTTGTTGGAGTAGGTGTGGCCTTGTTAAAGTAGATGTGACTTTGTTAGAATGGGTGTGGCCTTGTTGGAGGAAGTGCGTCACTGGGGACAGGCTTTGAGGTCTCAGATGCTCAAGCCAGGCCCACTGTGGCATTCTCTTCCTGCTACCTTCAGATCTGGATGTAGAACTCTCAGCTCCTTCTCCAGCACCATGTCTGCCTGTATGCCACCATGCTTTATGACATCACCATAATGGATAAACCTCTGGAACTGTAAGCCAGCCCCAATTAAACGTTTCCCTTTATAAGAGTTGCCATGGTCTTTGTGTTTCTTCACAGCAATAGAAACCCTAAGACAAGTACCTTGTTTCTTGTGTTTGCTAACCAACTTTGGGGCTTCCCCAGGTGGCCTATGTGACATAGGGGAAGGGGTCTAACAAGCCTGCTTCTCAATGGTGGTTCCCCCAGTCTGTGGTCTTGCCAGCCTGCATCTTGGTAATAATACTCGCACTGTGAGACAGGGCACAGGACAAGAGTGTGCTGTCTTATCAGTGGATGGCTAGAGGTTCGGGAAACTTTAGGCCACAGTGCTGGATTCTCAGCCATAGTTTTTATTCCTCATGGATTGTGTGACATTTGCTGGGGAGATGTGAGCAAAGGTCTAATCACTGATAACAGCTGAAGATAGGATTTCACTGAAGTCTGTCTTAGTGAACCGTTGAGAGGTCTAATCACTGACAGTAGCTGAAGATAGAATTTCACTGAAGTCCGTCTTAGTGAACCGTTGAGTTTCTTGACTTTCTATTAATTCAAAGGCAGCTCTGCACCACAGAAAAATCCATCAGCCTGGGTGACGAGTCACAAAAGCTTCATTTCTAGAGCTAATTGTGAAGCTTTAACGGTAGCTCAATAGGTCGAGATAATCCACTTCCTGGATGACATTACTATTTCTATAATCTTGGGGAGGGGCCTCGTGAATCCTTTCAGTTTCAGGAACTTCCTTTGAGTCTTGTAAATTTCCTTTACTTTCAGAGTTTCAAGAAACCCCCCGCCCCCAGAGAGGGACATTTTCAAATGGGAATAAAAAGCTAAATAATAGCATCCCTGTGTGTGTGGCTCCTCCAGTGTCCCCTGGCCTGCAGAAGACTAAAGTGACATCTTTTTTTTAAAACCTGTTTTTGTTTGTTTGAGACAAGGTGTTTCTCCTTGTAGGCCTGACTGTCCTTAGCAGTCACTATGCAGACTAGTTTGAGGTTTAACTCACAGAGATCCACCTGCATCTGCCTTCTGTGTGTTGGGATTAAAGGTGTACACCAATACTCCTGGAAATGAAGTGAGATCTTGTGCGTGTGTGTGTGTGTGTGTGTGTGTATGGGGGGTGCTGAGTCATACTCTTACATTCTGCAGCTGCACAAGGGATCAGTGTTGGGAGTATGAAGGTCTTTGCAGCCACAGATCACTGGGAAAACCAGGAATGTTAAGCGCTTAGGACTGTCCTCTCAAGGAAAAGGACATATATGTTGCAAGATATTTGATCACACTGTGAAGATGTCTCTATTTTACCTCACTTACCTAAGGCACCTTCTGATTGGTTTAATAAAGAGCTGGAAGACCAATAGTGAGGCAGGAGATAGGCAGAACTTCTGTGGAGAGAGAGGAACTCGGGGAAGAATATGAGAGGTGGGGGAGTCACTAGCATGATGTGGGATGTCCTTCTGTATATGTGTTGCTTTTATTGGTGGATGAATAAAGCTGTTTCGGCTAAAGGCTTAGCAGAGTAAATCTAGGCAGGAAATCTATCTATCTATCTATCTATCTATCTATCTATCTATCTATCTATC